TTGAATATGACGATCGCCGAAAAGCGTTAGATGAAAAGGAAAGATGGAAAGCACAAGAGGCTGAGACCCGTCGCTATGTGCAAGACGCCGAAGTGCGTCGGACAGACCCAGACGTTGAGGTGCATTGCGAGGAGTTAGGGGTTGAGGCCCATCGCATAGTTAAGGACGCCAAGGTGCATCATAAAGCGCTAGAGATGGAGCCGCTGTGCAGCGCCCATGATCAGGATGAATCACCTCAAAAATAGCTTGACGACGAGTCACGTCGCAAGGCGCTAGAGGTTGACGCCTGTTGACAAAAGCTTGAGCAGGATGCGCGACGTAAAGTGCTACAGAATGAAGCTCGTGAAAGAGAGCATGAGGCCGACTTCGAAGGCCAGAGAACAGGGGCTATCCCCGACAGCGATAGACCCCCACCGATCGAAAGCTCTGTAAATGTGTTAGTTGGCTTTAAAGGCATTGGGACTCACGTTCTGTCACAGGCAGAGACAGCTAGCAACGGGCCCAAGGAAAGGCTAGCTAACCAGTATCGAGTTTCGGCAGTATTTGTGAAAGGCAGCACACTTGTGAAAAAGTGTGTCGAAGCTGCCGGCGTTTCGAGAAGTCCCGACAGAAATAGTTGTCGGCGTAAGCATAACACGGTAAAGACAACTGATGCCAAGCCCGCTAAATCCGCTGTTAAGTGCCGTGACGTCATTAGTCGAGACGCCAGGTTCAGGGCTAGGCCTAGGATCCTGAAAAGGACTTCTAAGAAATGTATGAAGCTCAGACTGTCAATGAGTTCAAGATTAGGCGGGAAGCGCGTTGAGGAGGACCAAATTTCAGGAAAATTTGGACGCCGAAATCACCACCTGGTTTCATTATTTTCACTGCGGCGTAGTTGCAAGCAAGTGGGAAAACGTTGCGAGCACTTAAGCTGTAACACAGGCAGTTGTCCCCCACCATGGCGAAAGGGTCACTGGTCGAACGGGCGGGGTAAACGATGCAGTGCAGATACCCCTTTCTTTGAGTTCAGCGGCTGCGAGTCAAAAGTCGCTGCTACTGATTTCGGCGAACAAGTTGCATGGTTCGTCGCCCCTTGTTCAGACAGCAACCCTCGAAAGCTGTGGAGTGCGCGCCTACCCAGAGTTCGTCCGAGAGAGTGCCGCCTTGCCAATACCAAGAGTGTATTTTGTGCTTAGCTTTGAGAATTTTTCTATTGTGTCGCCTGCCGTGAAGCAATGAATGCGTCCGAAGTTTTCCAAGTTTTCCTTTCCTTCTCATTGGAAAAGCAGGCATTGATATGTTTGTTTGATTAATTTTGTTTTTGTAATAATTCAAAAGGTCATAGTCAGTGTGTTTTATTTTAACAGAGATGGCTGAGTAAAAGCCCCTGTTTAAAATACCTTCTGTGTTTGGCATAATGTGTTGGTAAGCGTGTCAGTGTAGGTTAACTTTTCACTTTGTTTTGTATAACGCACACAAGTTTGATATTCAGTCTTATTTTCTTGTTTTTTTTAAGCGTGCTTTCTCTTGTCGTGATGATCGTTGGCGGCGCACATTGAATTAGAGCTTGTCAGAGGACGAACTTTGTTAAGTTTAGCAGACTGACGCCAGCAAGCGACGGCAATGTGCATAATTCAGAAGTGCTTTGTACTCTAAATTGTAGTTTCGGGGCCAAATAAGTTACCGTAATTACTCGAGTCTAACGCGCACCTCTTTTCCGGTTAAGCGAGTTCATAAATCGCACGCGCGTTAAAATCGAGTGCGAAAAAAAATGAATACGGCCATTCTATTGCCATCGGCATTTCCAAAATGGCCACCCTCTACGTGCTTCGGCATGGGCCGCATGGCGCGTCAGCCATTTCTGCCTGTGTGTAAAAGCGGCACCACGATGCCGCCTTTAAAATAAAAGTCATCGCGTGTGCCGGAACAGACGGAAATCGGGCCGCATCGAGGTCGTTCGGAGTTCCCGAAACATGCGTGCGGGACTGGCGGAAACAAAAGCAGAAGATTGTCGACAGCAAAGATTCACGCAAAGGCTTCAGTGGACCACAGCAGGGCCGGTTTCTGCAAATTGAAGAGCTGCTCGCCGAGTATGTGCTTGAGCAGCGAACGGCACAGCGGCCCGTGAAGACAGAACTGCTCTAAGTGCGGGCTATGCAGTTAGCTTTAGAAAAAGGGCTAACGCGGAGCCAGTTCAAAGCGAGCAGGTGCTGGCTAACTAACTTTATGAAGAGGAAAGGCTTTTCCATCCGAAAGCAAATGGGCATGGGCCAAATCTTGCTGGAGGAGTACGAAGAAAAGCTTCACAGTTTTCAGAGGTTCGTCCTAAACTTGCGGCTACCTGCTTGGGTAAATCGGGAATGCCGATCAGACGCCTCTTTACTTCGACATGCCTGGCACCATAATTGTCGAGAAGAAAGGGGCAAAGCAAGTCCGCATGCTGACATCGGGCCACGGTAAAACAAGAGTGACGGCAATGCTCCGTTGCACGTCAGATAGGCACAAGCTTCCTCCGTACCTCATATTTAAATGGAAGACGCTCCCGAAAGGAGTCTTTTTCCCGAGCAGTGTGATCGTGCCGGCCAACGAGAAAAATGGGTGCGCGTTGCAATCGATGTCTTACTTTTTTTTTTAGTTGTGAAAACCGAGTGCGCGTTACAATCGAGGGCGCGGTAGAATAGAGTAAATACGGTAACCTTAGCAGCTTCGATCGTCCCCAATCTGCCTAAATCACAATTGAGAATCGCTTGAAAAAAACTCTGTTTGGTTTAACAGTATCATGCACTGACACTTAGCTAAAGGTGTGTCCACATTATGTATTCCTCTTGAGATACGTTGCTCGTGATGCTATTTTTCAGCTCAGCTTAATCTCGAGGAAATATTTTTGTTTCTGCTGGTCCAGCGATTTGATCAGCGTTTGGAGGGCACTTGCTTTGGCCAGAGTGGTTTGGCTTTGTGCTCGACTCCGTCACTCCAGTGATCCCGTGCAGGGCTCTGAAAGTCACCTCGGGCAGATAGAGCAAAACAGCCACAATTATCAACGGTCAACCAGCATCCGTCCTTCCGAGCCGCACTAGACGGTTCGAAAATCCAGATGCATTGTCTGGCGGCGGGGCCGCTGTCATGCCACAGGCATGATCCTCGTTCGGGAGCACTTCTTTCTACGAGAACAAACGCAGTTCAGGCGAACTCTCCCCACCTCCCAGCGCCACCTTCCACGTAGAAGGCAGCACCATGCAGTTCGGGGCAAAGCGTTGCCTTCTCCACCGAGCCACCGTGCCGCTCCGGGGAAAGCTTCACCTTCTCCAAGCACCAGGAACTGGTCTGGTAGAAGAGACCAAAACGTTATTTAAGGCCGTGCCGGCCCCGTGTTTAGAGGATTTTGCCCCAGCCGACGTCGTCGTGCCGGCCGGCTCTGTACAAACGACAACCTGCTATAGTAAACGCTCTTTGTTGCTGTTTTCAAAACTGATTGGTCTCCCTGTTCCGCCTCCAGGCGAAGACTTCAGCGAAGTCCGTTCGACTGCTCACCGCTTTCTGCTGCAACCGCTACCATCGCAACAACCCGAATTCCTAACAGTGGTGACAGTGGTGGGATACCATCAAACGTTTATGGTGAGAGATTAATGCAATTCACAGGGATAAAGATCTGGAATAGTTTGCCCACTGAATTGAAGACATCACACAATGCTGCGGTAAAACTAAAAAATAAATTCTTGAGCAAGCTGTAAATACTTCTTTTCTCTTTGGTGGTAAGCACATACATTTGTATAAATATACGCTGGTGAATCTTGTAAACCTAGCATTTTTTTTTCCTTCTAATTAAAACTTGCGATAGTTTGATGTTCTTTATGTATATTAACTGATGTTTTTTGGGTGTGTCCACGAAGTTATCTGTCATAACTTTTTGTATGCGCACATGCAGTTTTGTTTGGTGTGACCAGATTGTTTACGAAGAGAAAGACTTCTCTACTCTGTATATGTGTATACTTACAGTGTCTGTATAGCTACATATGTATTATGCGTAATTGATATTTCCCGCTTCTGTCCATTACTTTTCTCATTGGACCCTACACTAGCCTCAGGCTATGGGTCCAATCAGTGTTTGTAAACCTCATGTGACAAATGATAATAAACGTTCAATCAATCAAAAAAACCTGAGTTCATAACAATGCGAAGCAATGGGCGGTAACTCGCGAAATAATTTGTCACCTTGTTCATCATAATCTGAGCGAATATCATCTTAGCGCTTATGATTTCCAAATACTGTTTCGAGACCTGTTGTGCATCAATATAGGCCTTAAATTTGCACAATCATTATTTCAAATGAGTATTAATATATTGAACTATTTCACAATCTCCTTTAATTTGGATACATCTTGTATTGACTGTATATAAGTATGAATTTCTCACGCAATTAAGAACTGTTAGAATGCACTCGTGAGCCAATTTTTCAATAGTTCGTTCTCACCAGTCTAACAGAAAGTAAATGATCTTGAATAATACTTTCCACATCAATAAAGCAACTATTCTTAACAAGCCACAACAGGCTTACCGTAGCATTTATCTACAGAAAGACTGTAGCATTTATCTTACCAACAAGCAGAATCATCACGTGTGAGAAATTTATTAATAGAATAAATGCATACAGCTATATTGAATGAGCTTTGGTTCTATAAATATAAATACCACTAAGGTGAGCCTACGCCATACAGATTAATTCACGTAAGTCAAGTGGCCAGAACATCAATCAAGCACAGAACTCATCTATTGCTTGGCATAATATACCTTCCCCAAAACTTCCAAGTTCTATAAGCAGAAGATACTCATATGCAATTCGGATTGCTCAGCAATGATGCCACTGCCTGAAACGTAATGCATAAGACTGCGGGCAACGTATGGCATAAGCATGTGAAGGAAGCACCTAATGATGTGCGTATTTTCATCACCCAATTTACATTACTGATGGCAGCAACATTTATGTTTTGGAACATTTACTGCCTTAGTTGGGTACTCACACGACTGTTGGCATAAATATTGAGAAGCGGTCGAGAAAGTCCTTCAGTGACGATGACTCCACTTTCTGGAGCCGCCATCTCAGAGCAGCTATCGAAGAACAGCCGAGGTCAATCTTCTTTTTGCTTGAAAGAAACAATTTTGTCAGTAGTATGTTAAATCTTGATAAAATGGCAATTCATAATATGTGCATTCCAATATGAATGATATGTACAACAGGTATGATGCCCTTTAATTTTAAAATTCTGGAGAAATATGTACATTAGAACACAGTGCAAAGCAGCCTGGCAAATATTTTTTTTTTAACTTGGAGGATGCTTGAGTTTTGCCCTCAAGAGTAGAATGAAATACCACGATCAGGTGCCATGTGCATTGCCTCCTTGATTGTTAGCCTAGTTTCAGTTCTCAGTGGATGCATAAACCATGCCGCAAGAAAACATACGTCTGAACGCAAAACATTGGCTGTTTGAAACTACCTAAAGAATGCCTACTGCAAGTACTGTTACACAATACCGATTGTGCCATAACGCTTCCTTATGCAAATCAGCAAAGGGCCCACTACGATTCCATAAGGAAAAACGCAAACCTACGAAGCTGCTAACTTTGTTTATGCTTTTGCTGATGATTAAATGTTTGAACCCTTTGTAATGAGTGGGCCTTCAAAGCACCCACTAGTTGTGCGATTTACATGTTTATATGCCTGGCTACGATTCTACGCTCTGTCCATGCTACTGCAATATGACATGCGTCAAGGAGATTCCTTTCATTACATGAAATTTATATTGTTTCAATTTTTTTTCCAAACCTGTTTAAGCAACTGTGTGGCTTCTGTGGTAGAACAGTCGCTTGCCTTGCAGACAGCCTAGGTTTGACTCATACCGTCGAAGTGACGTTTTTTATTATTTATTTTAATTGCATCATTCTTGATTTCGGATAACGGTCACGATGATTTCTCGCTTACAACCAATGATGCCACTGCTGACTGTCCGAAAGTTCTGCTAAATGAGCTCCTTAACGTTATTGCATAATAAAAATACGGTTCCTACACAGCTGTGAGACAAGGAATGATCTCAATGAGAATTCTGGGAGTATAGTGCCTGTGCAGCTTCTCCATGGTATCAGAGCACAGCATCTGTATACGATGAGCAGGCATGCACAATCATTAAGGCTCACCGAGAATCCTACTAGCCGTGATTACATCGATACCTATGTAAGATTTTGTGCACTTTATATTGTCACATTGTAACGATCAACCGTCTTAGCCTCTAAAGCCGATATAGTACTTACATGGCTTAACTGCAAAACAAATAATCATCCAAGCAAAACAATCAAAAGCCACATAAAAGTGGCCGAGGCAGCAGCAGTTACGCAACATGCTCAGCTGCCCCATTTGTATTGTCTCGCTGTCAACAGCATGCATGACATCCGTGAAGTTTTCTTTTTACCATATGTTATTGGTTACGACGTGGGTTGCGCTTGGCAAAGCTCTTTCACAAGGCATGACACACCAGATAAAAATGGAAAATGAAATGGGGTGTTATTTACTTCAGCAAGTGATTTGTGCACCATAATGTGAGCATCAGACATTTTGAAGCGTTCTATGTTGTTCATAGTGTACTCAGACTCCATTGAGATCTGCGCAACACATTGATCCAGTTCTTTTTTGATGATTTTTATCACTGACTGTACCAAGTGTACGATATGAAGATCAACACAGTGCAATGTCAAGCCAGCGAGTGATGAAAGATGAAAAGAGTGAGAAATTAAATTAATCTGCATGGAATATTACCCTGAACTTAAGTTTATGAAATGCTCATCCATGGCAGCACAAAAAGATATTTGAATCAATATGCAATAAAAACGTAACAAAAGCACATCAATGGTGTGCTGTGTTATGGAAGAAAGTGCGAATATAACAATGGGAAAGAAGTACTATCAGATAAGTAACCACTAATAGTGCTGCAAGCAACAGCACTTCAAGTGGTGACTGAGGGGGTAGATAAGCAATCTGCACACTGATATCCCGCCACTCAAGGGTCTCAGAACAATTCCCTATTGTTTTGAAGCTACTGTCGACTACATCAAGAGCTCTGTCCCGGAGCAGTATCAATCCCTTTCACTGAGGCATTCAGTTTTCAGAGGCATATAGGTTCTACGTACCGCAAAGATATAAAAAGGTAACAGTAGTAATTGATAGAACATTAGCTTTGATTACATTTCACTGTAACTTATCAATAATGTAACAGCTTGTTGAGCTGGTCATCGAGACTGCACGTGTTGCACCTAGGGTGCTACTTTATAAAAGTTCTGTCACAGATCGGGGGAGCAACGGAACAGAACGGGAGAGAGGCACACGGGATCGGCTGAGGCTCGTCCGATGATAAAGACATGAGAATAGTCACAGAACAGGTGGAGGTCCCATTCAGTCGATAAAATGGATACAAAACGATATTTGGACAATGTGGATTGGACCGAACCGTAAGCACTTGAGCTCAAAGAATCGAATTAGTCTGTTTTGTGCCTGTCTTGCCGTGATCTTGTGCTGATCATCACCGAATGACTCATCGAATTGCAATGCCACCGAGTATCCACTCAAGACATTAACACAATTAAAATGAGGTCATCCACCTCTTCCATCTCGAGCTTTGAAAAACAATGCCTGCCAATATGATATTCAACTAAAATAATTATGTATTTCTTCATGAGCTGAAAGCATTTCGATTTCCATCAGCTGGCATATTGGCTGTTTCCCAGCTCTCATTCTTCCATTCTAAGACAGAACGGTCACAAAATAGCCCCATTGCACGAGTCTGCAAAATGCATCTAATGGGTGATTGCCATAAACTGTCAATGTCATTTGCTTTGCATGTCTAACAGCAACAAAGATGGCAGCCAGGAGTATTTAACACTTGATTACATTCACTGGAAATGACATTCTATATGCCTTGTTATGGGGTTAATGACATTAAAACTTTCAGAGTGAAATTTATCATCCTAACCAAATTCATTGTTTCCCTTTTGTGTTCCTTTAAATTACTGTGCCACTTGACACAAAACAGCGACACACATCGTTTTGCATTAACTATATATGCTTAAAATACTACAACAAGATTCTGTCGCTTCACGATACTCACTGTGCAAGTTCCCATATTGTCTCCAGTCGTATGGACCCATCTAAATGAAGATGGAGCTCCACCTGTGTGAAAAAGTGGGAGAGAAACTTTTCAAATGTAGGAAATTGTCATGAAATAAGTGAACTAGTCTAAACAGTCACCGCTTGTCTTTTTCTAACTGCAATTCTTGCTAACATTAACTTTTACTGAAATCTCCAATGCTCTTGAGAGGATGGGGGAGGGCTTAATGTGCTGCTCATGAGAAATTTCACCCAAATATAAACCAACAGTGCTTATATCTGTATAGCAAAGCGTTTGCCATGATGATACTAATGAAAAATGTTGAATAGCCTCTTAAAGGAACTCCTCGAAAGTTGAGAATCGCAGACAAACAAACGCTGTGAGAAGGTCGTTCGGTGTAACAGCGAAGTTATCGCACATTTCTTGAGCGTAACGCGAGCCGTCTAACGCGTTGTAAGTCATGGTGTTTGCTTCTCGCAGGGAGCCACTGCCTTACTGCTACTCTGCGATTACGTAAAGCTGTTGCACCAGTCAACAAGGGTTCAATGAATCACCTGTTGCTTTTTTCCCCACGGTTGCAACCGAAGTACAAGATAAACTGACAGTTTTGAAACCAACACGAAACTTGGCGATATACTTAAGGCGCGTACCATAGGCGCGTGCTATTAAGCAGAAAGCACACCTTCTAACAGCAACTATCTTGAGATCAGTCAGCTCGCAGATACTGTTTGAATGAGGCTCAGTCAACTACATCGAGATCTGCACCGGGAAACGCACATGCAGCGGGGTCGCATCAAATCCGGCAGTGTCCATAAACTCACCCTCGTTCGAGGAATCTTCGACGGATCGAAGTGCCTGAGAAAACTCATCGCGCTTTCGATTCACGCCCCGTCGGCACCACGCCTCTACAGCAAAACAGCGGCCAGCGATTTGGCGCGCGTTTTCAGCAGCAGCAGTAGTTTGACAAGTTTTGATGGCGTGCTCCGGGCTGTCGGCGACTTCCCGCCAAGCGTGGGGTTGGGGGTGGATACACCACAAAGGCGAGACGCGGAATCAACAGTTCCGACAGCGCGCCCAGATTGCTGCACACGGCTGACTTCGTTCACTCTCTCTTCTCTGGCCTCCAATACCCTCGCCCGCCC